CCTAAATTTTTGCGGAGGTTGACGGGGTTCAGTTAGTATATACAACAAGGATAATCAAGTTAACTATAACTAAAGGACACTCACATGACTGGAGATAATTAGATAATAATCTTGAGAGTATGTGAATGGGAACAACATTTTTCTACATTTTTTGCAGTTGCTGTTGTCTGTTCGTTTCCCCATGACTTATCTGTTCCCAACTCAGCTGAAGTCGCCGATTTTGCTCACGAAAGAATTCCAGCATTCTGAAATTTCTTGAATTATTATTTTGGGCTTCCCTTTTCTCCCAAACACACGAATATATACCCAAGAAAGAGGGCTGGGAAAATATTAAATTTAAAGATTGCTGAAATCGATTACTATCAGTCTAAATTTAAGTTAAAGAAAAATACTAAATCATGTTCAGAAAATATATCACCGCCAAATTTCCAGGCCCGTCTTTACACCACAATTCTATACGTACAGGTAATTCAGAAGACGTGGAAATTCAGAAATTTGTGATCATAAATTTTATAACTATTTTGAGAAGATTTAAGATTGAACATTTTTAAACTACGAATATTTTATTCGCCAGAATATTCGTTTAAAAAAATTAAGCTTTAAATCTGAAAGATAACGGTGTGCTGATTTTAAAGCTGAAAATGGACTGGAAGTATATGAGTGTATGATTATAATTTTTGTCCTGTAATATATGTAAATATTTGGTCACGCAAAGAAAACGTTAACCGCTTTGTTTTTAGTGTGGAAGTGCGTTTTTTTCTCAGTCAGGGCTGATATTTAAAATTTTTTATGAAATTCCAGAGGAGAATTGACACCCCAAGTACTTCGTTTTGAAAAATGTAAGTACTGTACAGTACAGTACTTTTTCTGGTCCCCTGGATTTGGTTGAAGAGTCCGCCTGCATTTTCTGCATTTGATCCTGTAAAAATTACCTTTTCCTCTATCCAGAAGATCCTCAGTAAAAATTGTTGTGCGGATATTCATATTGGTAGTCTGCTACTGCGCTAATAATTATGATTTCTCATACTTGAAAAGCCCGTGACTGACAAAAAGAACTGGTTAAACCACAACACATAAGAATAAAGGCAAAAGTTGACTTTCAAATTTCATCCTTCTCCCCCTTTTCAATATACAGTACATTACAGTATTTCGTCCGTTTTGTGGCAGTACTTTCTCGCGATCTTCTTTTATAAAAGTACTGTGATTTGAGTTGTTGTTCACGTCACCTCGTCTTTCATTATTATTGACTTGTTTGGCAAAATTCGGCATGGCTCGTATGTAACCGTGTTGAACGACGCTAGTCCTCTAGCACCTGATAGAGATTATCTCAAGTTTGGTTTACCTTGGGGACTGGGTCTTGTAAAGACTTATTAAGTGTTTTGTATATCAGCAGGTTAGCGAGTGCCAAAAATAAAGCTATGCGAATTCCTATATTTTATTTATTTATTTTTCAGCTGAGCAACGCATAAAAGCACGAATTCAACGAAGCATGACGAATGTTTCTCCGTATATAACAATTCAAAAAGTTTCTGGCTCATTTCAGATGATTACTTTTCGGTTTCTCCTTTTTTCGTGGAGTATTTTTCACCAACAAGAACGCCAGTGTTTTCTTTTGAAATCAAAGAACTTCTTTTTTTGAAAGTTTCGTTGCAACGCTCTCGCGACAGCAGATGATTAAGTGGATTTCAGGCGAGTTTTCGTTAGTTTTTTTGCTCAAAAGGCGTTCGTTCAATGTGAATCAAAAGTGTAGCAGGAGCAGCCGATGTCCCGTCTGCATTCAGCATTTGGACGTGTCGATAACCTGGTGAAAAAAAAGTATCATATGAAGTTTTCGAACTCAACTGTTTCGTACAACGAACCCGATAAACTCACGTTTCATGCAACGAAGTCATTTTTTCGTATTAATTTTAATCTAATTTTTTTTTGCCTTTCTCTCAATCCCCAGTCGTTCATAAAAAAAAGCATAGAAATTGCTAGAAGTCTCTAACTTCGGACTCGGTGGCAGCAGCTGTACTGTAAAAATTGAAATTTCTGTTTTCTTATCCAGGGGTAAAATGACGTTTTTGGCTTTTCTTCATTCGTGGAGGTGTTTTTTCTTATTTTTAAATATTTTGCGAGTTGAAGTGGAGTGATATGATGGATCATACTCACGAGAATAATTCGGGCATTGGGAGCGTAAATTAAAATTTTTTGTCTTGAATTAATTCTTGCCTTCCTCAGAAATTAATTTGGAGAAGAGTGTCTGTCTTATGCAAGAAATGCTTTATACATGGAAATATGCATTTAAACGAATTCGGTTGATAAAAAAAAGATAAGTCACTGTGTCCACATTTTCAAGTTTTTGCCATTTTTTTCACAGGAAAATTACGCCATTTCCATGCGTCATAGAATTCAACTTTATTATCATTTCAACCAATAAAAAAGGATGAAGGAAAAGGATCGTGATTCGTGCTGGTGTTGTTTATGATTCGCAGTCTTTATGAGTGCATTGCGAATTTTTTTAGACTTTTCATAGAACGTTTAATGTCCATTTTTAGCACGAGAAGCAAACTTTGCCAAAAATTGCATATATCATCGTCTCTTCTTACATGCTTCAATGCGATTAAAATTCACTCAAAGACATAGGCATAGTACTGAGTACTGTATGGTCCTGCAACAGAGTTGGAAAATGTATCCAAATGCAGTCGAACCTCGATAAACCTCCAACATTTTTTTTAGGGTTGTGGTGATTCAACGGGGCTGGCAGTTTAAAAGGAAGTTGATGATTTATCAAAAAGCTAAAATAATATTGAAATTAGGCATAATGTATTTCAAAGAGAAAACAATCAAAATAACCATGGAATGCGTAGTATATATCCAGCTTATGTTCCCAAAAAGTAGTCGTCCAATCGCGTACGGTTATTTCGAGACATTTTTCATATTTTTATTCATTTATTTATTCATTTATTTAAATTAGCTGTATGTCATCTTTGTGCTTGTGTGTTTCCTTTTATTGGAGACCTCTCTCAGAAACTTGAATCTTGTTGGAGGACTATTGAAGACAAAATTAATTGGCAGGGGCAAATTCGAGTTAATAATTTTGGCAGATGGCGTTTTACCGGGGTTTCCCATGCTTTTATCATTAGGTAAGATTGGTTTTTTCAAAATAAATTGGCGGATCTGGAAAGTGGCGGCTTTTCGGAGGTGTCTGAATTGGGTTTGATTGTACAGTATATTGTATTATCTAAAACTATTGTGCTCGGACTTCTCAGCAGAGGGGACCGCACAAATAATTTGGTTTATTTTTCAAAAATAAATTCTGATTCTGACAATATTTTCACTTACCCAGAGCCATGGAAAGCAAAGATTTGATGGTATAGCAGAGTCCTCTGACTTTTGCTGTGTTTTTCTGGCCTCGGCCGTCCGTCCCTTGGTCTTTAGTCTTCACCAGGAAGCTGATGAATGCTAACTCGGGCATATAGAAACGCAGTTCGAATTTCTCGTGCCAAATTGGATTCAAACCTGTCACAATAATGAGCACGTGATCATCACGTCCGAGTATTTTTTTTTTTTACGATCTTTCGTCTAATTCACGCAAACGTTTTATTTTTCAGAAGCTTATATTATTCAGCCGTACCCTTGAGAGAAGTTTAAATTTATTTTGAAACACCAGAAGTCCGTTAGGCGGGAGAAACCCCCGACACCAGCGGTGGTCTGTTAGGCGATAATCTCTTGGGTGGAATGTCCGTTAGGTGGGGGTTAACTGTATTTCAAAGTCTGAAGAGTGTTTCTGGGTTTTGCTCGATCTTCCAAGAAGCCATTTAAAAAATCAATCCCAAATTTGATCAATAAGAATTTCAATTCGAAAAACTCGTCACCGAAAATTCTGAAATGATTTTAAATTTTTGAAGCGCTCTTATTGAGGATTGGACAGAAAAAAAATGTTATTTAGAGATTCAAGGTGACGAAGAAGAGCTGCGTCTGTGAATCAATGTCGTCTCTTTAAATTCGAAACAATACGATACAATATGAATAATACCTCCAGAACCGGGTGACGTGACGAAGCGCTGTTGGGCGTCCCTGGGGTGGCCAATGGCCCGAATGATGACGAACGGCGACATGCCGCCCTTGATGAAATCAGGCGGCTTCATGGCGCCGCGAGGAAGCATCACGCCGCTTATTATCGTCAGACTCACCTTCATAGGCGGCCTGAAACAGCCACACACACACAAAAAAAAAAAAAAACAACAACAGGTAATGTTAAGCATTTTTCAAATTTTTCCAATCATACCGTAGTGGAAAAAAAGTTCATGCTGGGTTTTAAACTCGTTTCTGGGAGATTTTTTCGGTGTCTCAATTTCCGCGTGTCCCGAGATGCGCGGATTAAATTTCATATCCATCTTTTGTCTCTTTGTTAGCAGACTTAATTTTGGCAACAGAAAATTCCGTACAGTTCAATCTTGCTGCTGTACGTCATATGTACCGAACATGGTTAAGCCATAGCATCCAAATGCAACATTATTTTTGCTTGTAAACTTTCTCAAAATCCAAAAATCGAGTTTGGCAAAATTGACAAACCTTTTTTAAAAGCGGAGAAGTTTCTCCTGATTTTCTTAATTTTTGTGCGTTTAGTTAATTGTGAAGCATGGAGGAAACCACCTGCTTTTTCCCAGACTCAACAGCTTTTGTTTGTCATGAATATCTCTCATTTCTCCGGACGACAAGTGAACAAATGGGAAATTGAGCAACCTAAAGATTTAACTGAAATTTATATTCTCTGGGCTGAGAAATCAACTGTAATCTTACTTGAACGGACCAGAGAATAAATTAAAAAATTAAAAATGTTAAAAAAAATAGCAGAGAAGGAACTCCTTGTGGTTTGCCAGGAATTTCGTGGTTTATGCAAATTCTGATGGCTGAACATCAATAATCTATTTTAATAAGTGTACTAAACACGATTCAAATAAAACTCCACTATTTCAAATTTTCAATGAATCTCCTAACAATCCTAAAGAAATATACAGGCATTTGATGCCTCACTGATTCAAACACTGTTGGATACTTAGAAAATCCGCCTGCAAAATGTTATACAACGCCTTTCAGTTTATTATTCTGGGGTTTTTGAAACGTTAGCTCCAGAAAAGCAGGAAAAAAAGAGAAGCACATTAATGTTTTAACCCTTTTTCACCAGGGCATCAGCAGGCAACTTCCTGCTCGTAGGAAACCTGTTTGGCCCGAATTTAATGAGAAGTTTTGAAATTGAGATCATAAAATCCTGCTCCTCGACTAACCCACAGAAGTCAGGTAAGATTCCGTAAAATTGAAAAACTACAGAAGTCGAATTTTGTTCGGAATGTTTTTGAATTCAACTGAGAAAGGCTCGGTTTGTATATGTTTGACAATAGTTTGAGGGATGACTCACTCAAGAAACCTTTGCTTGTTGGGGATCCTCATGAAATTGGGTTTCAGCCTGTAACCCGTCAGTCCTTTCCTTCTGTAGAATGAGCGGTTCAACATGCCTCCATAACCCCCGATCTGAAGGTCCAGTGTGACTGAATGTGGGCAAAGGTGAAAGATTCATGAATAAGCTTTTTAAATAATCTAGTTAATATACTATGGACAGTTCTCTTGTGCCAGGCAAACATGAACACGACAAATTAAGATTGAAAAGTGTGCCATTCTCGAGACATCCATTTGCTCTTGGCGCTTAATTCTTGGAGGAAATTATTAACCACACCGTGATAAGTTGAACCTCTCCAAGTGGAATTTCAAAGGAATAAATAGCAAAAAAAAAATAATTTAACTTGGGGAGGTTTTGAGTTATACAGAAATATAGATGCTTGTCTTATGCAATCAATATAGAGGCAGGTTAGTACGGTAAATTGATACGGAACGTATGTCCTGAAACATGGAAGTTTTTTTTTCGTTCTTTGAATGTCCATGAAGTTTAAATCTTGGAAAAGGTAAAATGCAGGTCACCAACGTTGAAGCCTCAAGATATTAAAGTTTAAACGAACTGTACGAGTATACTTCGTCATTGAATGACTTTTTCAAGCAGTACGATTTTCGTTCATCACGCACCAAAGTAACGTATTCACATCACGATTCAAATAAAAAAACTAATTAAATTTATGACTCATATAGAAATTGATTTCAGTTCTTATAATCTATTTTTTCGTAAGATGTGGAGACAGGGGTTCATTTGCCTAATTTATGGTCTGGCGCATCCTTTCAAAGCACTTCAAATTCCGCTTTCAATGTTTTTTAAAAACATCGTTTTCAATGCTATGACAATCTTACGATTGAAAACGATTCCATGGAAGGAAATCACTGTTTTTTTTTTAGAAAACATTCTGGATTTATATTATAAATTTAGGAAAAAATTTCGACGTCTTTTAGATTCAATATCTATTTTTTCATGGGTGAATGACTGGGAAAATTTTATGCATGACTTTCCGCCACAAAAGAGACAGGAATGTATTTTGCTTCTAGAATAATATTTGTCTGCATGGTTCGACGCCTCCTTCATTGTCGTCACTCATCAATCGCAAATTGAACTCGTGTTTTTCAATTTTTTGGAGCGGTCGTTGAACTCTGGCAAAAGAAACGAATCCTAACAACGATTTTGTCTTAATTGCTGCTCGATCGTTGCCAGTCAACGAATCAATCCTAAACCTTCAGTTTATTAAATGTAGAAATCACCATAATTCATCAAATTCTCGTGCAAATGTTTTATTTTTCGAAAATTTAAAAATCCCTGTAAAATTGCAGATAATATTAGAAAATTCTCGGCATGCACAGGAGAGATGCAAAAGATCACGATTTGTGAAATTATGATTTAAAAGAGCTGTAGTATTAAAATCTGCCTGACATATCATAAACCAAAGGTTTTCCGCATTTTAGAAACTAAATTCGATGAACCAAGTTTCACTGGGTACATATTCGGTGGTATTCCCTCTCTAAAAATGTTATACCATAATGATTACTGCAATTGCATTTTTCGGGGATACTCTTCACTTTTTCTGTCAAAAGTATGTTTCTCTCGTTATAATAGAGAGAGAGAGAAACGTGATTTAAAAGTAAGCCTATAGGCAGAGAAAAATAGAAGCAGAATCATCCGAAAACTTGACAGGTAGGAATTCGTCCCATCATGATGGATGAATCAGGATGTTGTATGCCGAATGAAAGAGATCTTCGAGCTGTTTCTTGATTTTCTGTGTCAAATAATTTTGTGCAGAATCCTGCAGTGAGATGGCTACCAGACGATGCTTATCCCTCTTAACGGGAACAATCCGCCAAAACAGGTCTTATTTTGCAAAGAAGGAAATCACTGTTTTTTCCGGGAACATTATTCTGGATTTCTATGCCATGATGTTCAAGAATGATGAAGCTCATTGATTTCTTACTCTGAATCTGTCAGGGATCAAAGCAACGACTTGGATTTAGCTTCAACTTGCACTGCATGTGATAAATGTTACCTGGTGGTAATTTTTCTTCGTCAGTCAAAAATTCAAGGCAAGAAAAGCAAACCGAAAGTTCTGAAATTGAATGGAAAATTTGCACAAAACTATGCAAATTTGGAAAGACTTGCAAGTACAGTATAGTACTGTAGTTCTCAAAGAAATTTTCAATCACTGAAAGGTTGCCATGCTTTTGAAATCACAATTCCTAAAACTGGATCTTATGCAGGAACTTTGAACATTTTGATGGTGTTGTCCGTTTAATAAAACAGTTTCAACTTATACAAAAATATACTTTATTCACAATCAGTTGTTTTAAACAGTTGGGCAAAATAAAACAGACAAATATTTAAGAGAATCTTGTTAAATATGCACAAGGCTCTCTGAGAAGTAACCATGGTCAACACAGGATTAAATTTGAGGAAAATACTGTTCCTCAGCAATATATATGCCTTTCAGGTATATATGTTGTTGTAGAGGTATTTCATATATTATTCATGAATGCATGGACCTCATGAAGCAAAATATTAGATACATGATACACAATACAATATACATATGCAAATCAGTTATATACAGTATATTCCTCTGAAATTCATATTTCAGAGGTGCGGCTGCGCAAATAACATTTGTCCCTCTCAAGAGTGAGGGGGAGTTTTATATTCATTAAAGAAGACAGAAGCGCATCACGCTGTTAACCTGGGGTGATGTGAGAAGAGAGATTTCAAAAAAAGGGGAACAGCTGCAGGGAGAAAACCTTGTTTGCTTCTTCAAAGTAAGGTGCAATTTAAAAAGAGGTCTTGGAAACAAATCCAAGTATTTCCTGGATAACAATGGGTCATACTGATATGCATCTAATGGAACCCACAAACTAAGCTGAGTGTATTGGCACTTGAGAGAAATTTTTAATGTTAAAGAGTTTTGAGATTTGATCCTTGAATTCAAATTTTTCAATCCTGCGTTTCTTGCCAAATCTGCCTTAAAATCCTTTCAACCCATGTTTTCTCTTCAATTGAAAGTAGCAATACTGCCATAATGGACAATGCTGTAGATGCCAAGATATTGTTAATCTTCAAATGAATTTGTTTAAACTGAGATTTTTGGGTTATCAATAATAGTCTTGTCAAAGCAGAGTATCAGTGGATGGAATTACTCAGAATATATAAAATATAATCAATGTGTCAGGGATTCTTAGGATCCAGGCAAAGAAATAATTGAAAAATGCACAATAGGCTGCTTGCGGCCAAGACTAGGTCTCCTTGAACAATTCACTAACACATTCACAAGTTCTTAAAGACAATTTGAATTTTACTTTCAGGAACAACTGAAGATCCAAACACTTCCAAAGCCTGGAATCATGTGAGTTTTGTTCTTTGGTTTTATGCAGATGCAGAGTTTCCTGAGAGGATCTGTTTGGTGCCTGGTTTTGTAGATGGTTTATCTCATGGTCATCAAAGTAAGGTTGGTAGAAATATTTTATTCTTGTACAGTATATGTGTGTCTGTTTTCATGTTTGGTAGATCAGGTGACCTCTAGTGGTCTCTAACACAATGTACAAGTGGTGCCTTGCAATTTGACCCTAATCTGTTGCCAAACTAGGGTTAAAATTCAAAGCAGTCAATTTGCAAGACACTTCATGAAATTCTAGAATAACAGTACAAAGATGCAAAAGAAAGTGGCCAAAGCAGGTCAAATTGCGGGGCAAGGGTTGAATTGCAAGCCAACCTCCCTGCAAATTCAACCATTGAATTGCTGAATGGTCAAATTGTGGGAGAGGTCAAATTGGTACTACCAGTAGTACCCATTTTTGCCTTTCTCAAATGTTGCTAAAAACATCAATGTTTTAAAACTCCCATCCATTTTTGATTTGAAAATAAACTTTCCAAAAAACAGAACTGTTCATGCCAGCCAAAAAATAAAATAACTTTGGAATCCTTCCATAATCGAAGTTTGATTTTAATTGGGAAAATCTGTGCATATAATTTATGCTTATTGTGGTATGCATGTTTTGATGACATGGAGGAAATAGAGAGTGAGTTAGATAGGAATTATGTCAAAATTTCCACAAGCTTCCATATGTGACAAACATATTTTGGCATTCTGAAGGAGACAGTGCAAGGATACCCTTACGCGTGGAAAAGTATAGGAACAGGTCAGTGTGACAGACACTCAATCAGGTTGAACCATTCTCAGAAAAATCATCATGCTGTCAGAATCCCATTTTAAGGAATTAAGCCTCTTTCCCAGGATTTGATGAAGCTTTCATAAACATTTTCATTTGATTTTTCCTCTGATTTCATATCCATCACCTTTGCCAATTTTCTTTTTTTAGAAGTATTCCCCACCCAGTGTCACTGAGGTTCTGGAGTTATAAAAACGTCCTGAAAGTAACTTTTTACCTTAGGAACTAGAGGATAACTAATAGAAGGACTTTAATCGTCCTTAGTCGTTGAAGATATGATTGGAAATCTTCATTATTATTTTTTTTTACAAATTTTACTGCACAAATAATTTCACAGCGCTGTAATGAATTACATTAAAGAACATGCATACGCCTTTTTCTTTTGTTTAAATGATATGGATGCCTTATCAAAATCTCAGCAGGTTATGGATTATTAAGCTTTTGCATCAGACTTTAAAAGACCTTTACAAGACTCACAATTGCCTTAGTAAGATTCAAAAAATGACTGACCAAAACAAACTCACACAACATGTTCTCATTTTTTACATTAGAGACAGTCCAACAGGTTGAAAAAACACACATATCCTCGACCTTGCACAGTTTCTGGAAAATTTGTTGAAAAGAGATGCGGTAAATTAGCCCGTTGTGAAAATAAAGTATAATAAATGTATAAGGGTTCAAGTCTAAGTGAGACGCTGAATTTTCTCAAGAGATATCAAAATGTAAAAAAATAATGTTTTTCTATAAATGTTGGCATGTTTTCTTATTTTGAGGCATTTAAAAAATTTTATTACATTGCTGTGTACAGCACCAATCAAAATGTGTACTAGTCAGTGCCACATTGTAAATGAAATAATACTGCATGCAAATCCGACGAGATTTTGCTGACCAAATGAAAAATAAATAAAAGAAAAGCCTGGACTGTGGCAATCACCACCTGTATATATACCAGTGAAAATCTTCATAAGGGGTGGGTCACAGTGACTCCAAGACCTCAATATTTTTGCAGGACTTTCATTGAAAAATGGAATCCTTGATCTCCTATTGATTATCTTCCTGAAATTAGCAGGAATCAGCAACTTAATATGATTGGAAATCTTCATTTCTCTTTTTTTTACAAATGATACTGCACAAATAATTTCACAGCGCTGTAATGAATTACAGTAAAGAACATGCATACGCCTTTTCTTTTTTTTAAATGATATGGATGCCTTCTAAAAATCTCAGCAGGTTATGGATTATTAAGCTTTTGAATAAGACTTTATAAGACCTGTACAAGACTCACAATTGCCTTTTCAAGATAAAAAAAAATGACTGTGCAAATCAAACTCACACAACAGATTCTCGTTTTTTTTTTACATTAGAGGCAGTCCAACAGGTTGAAAAAACACACATATCGTGGACCTTGCACAGTTTCTGGAAAATTTGTTGAAAAGAGATGCGGTAAATTAGCCCGTTGTGAAAATAAATTATAATAAATGTATAAGGGTTCAAGTCTAAGTGCTGAGACGCTGAATTTTCTCAAGAGATATCAAAATGTAAAAAATAATGTTTTTCTATAAATGTTGGCATGTTTTCTTATTTTGAGGCATTTAAAAAATTTTATTACATTGCTGTGTACAGCACCAATCAAAATGTGTACTATTAGTCAGTGCCACATTGTAAATGAAATAATACTGCATGCAAATCCGACGAGATTTTGCTGACCAAATGAAAAATAAATAAAAGAAAAGCCTGGACTGTGGCAATCACCACCTGTATATATACCAGTGCCATTTAGGGGAAAGTAAATTAGCGCGATGATGATAGTGTGCTGAAAGCGTTCGCGAGAAACGCGTGACCCGCATTATTTCCCACTGCTGTCAGTCTCGGGAACGGCAACTATACAACAATCCGTATTCATTTTCTGCCTGTATTCTGCTCCTGCAAATTATTCGGCAGCATAGCATCAGAAAATACTTGCACATTTCAGGTACAGCATTTGCTTTCCATTCCTAACTCACGTTATTTGAGGATTCATATGTTTCCCAGTGTATCGCTGGAAATTCGAATGTCAAATTTTTGTTGCATACGCATGATTTCTTCAAAAATTTAGGTGCGTGTTTTTTTTGGGAAAATCTGCAATTATGATATTCAGGTAATCATTAAGAAGCCCTCACCAACTTGAATACCAGCCAACCAAAATGCCATTGGATCAGGGTTGGTTTCATCTTGTCTGCGGACCGACGGTCGAACGACTGTCAAATGTCTCGCATGAAAACTAATGGAATTCGCCCTTTCGTTTCCCAGCATCAGCTTTGCTGCATCGATTTCATCAAAAACATTCACGATCAATTCCTCTGGAAAAGCAGGAAAATTTGTAAAAGAAAAAATAAAATAAAATATATATATGCATACATATATTTTTTTACAATATATATATTTTTTTCAGAAGCTTCCTACTCCATATATATATATATATATATATATATCGAAAGTCTGATTCGAATTGACGTTGCGCACCTTTGAATTCAGGATTTTCCGCGAATATTCCCTCCTGCGCTTCCGTGTTTATTTTCAACGAAATTAAGTTTTGCAATTCTGGCGAAAGATCTTCTGGGCTGTCCTGTGAAAAAAATTTAATCTTGATGCAACGAACTGAAAAATCTGAATAACGAACACATCAATTACAGGAGAACATTGCGACTGAACGAAGCGGATACTGAAGAAAATTTGTTTCAAGCAATAATTATGTATAACAACTTGACAAGGTCCGTTGTCTCTCGTCATAAAATCAATTTTGAACAAAGAATTATTTTACTATTTTTTTTAAACAGTCTTCAAAGGTTTTTCTTAGTGGTTCTTACGATTCATTTCAATTTTTTGTTTGTGTAGCCTGGATGAGAGGAATTCACTCGAATATTTTTTACACAGTATCATTCATATTTTGTTCCCTGAAAATTTCCGGATGCGGATTTTTATTATTCCAGATTACCAATTTCCAAAAATATCAAAAAGAATCACCTTTGAGTAGAATTCGCACGTTTTCATAATCGACGTGTGATCAAGTTTTTTGCTCGGAGTCTTGAGACCATTCCCTTTGACCTTCGTGGAAATCATCGATCTCTCGTGAGAATGTTAGAAATAAAAATTATTATTATATAGTGGGACGATGTTAGAAAGCAGGTGCCTATATAACATCATGGCGAATGTAAAGGAATCGCAAATTTTTCAGCAGGAATTTATGTGCATAAAATTCGCCGAGGAATCCTCAAGTCGTCGGAGGAAATACAGCACAGGTATGAAAATGTAAAAAATATTACATATTTAATTCGAGAAATGAAAAAGATACATTCTGGAAATAAGCCAGAGACTTATACCCTTATGCAGTCTATATAAATACAGTCTTTTTATTACATATTTTTATATTGGAACGTTGAAAAAACATTGTAGCTATTAGTCAGGCACTTCAACTTGTTTTTTAAATAAAAAAATTATAACAAATATATTTTTTCAGCAGGAATTATTATGTATAAAAATTCGTTGAGGAATCTTCAAGTCGGAAGAAATACAGCACAGGTATGAACACGTAATAAATATTGCATTTATTTCGAGAAATTAAAAAGATAATTCATATATCTAGAAATAAATCACAGAGACTTATATACCCTTACGCAGTCTATATAAATACAGTATTTTTATTACATATTTTTATAATGGAACGTTAAAAAAACTTTGTGGCTATTATTCAGGGACTTCAACTTGTTTTTTTTTTAATAAAATAAAATCATAACGAATTTGAATCTTGATTATTTTCTACTTTATATTCACCAGAAGGATGATCTTTCCTCTCAAATTATTCGGGGTGAATTCTGATATCCTCTCTTGGGTCCAGGGACCTTTTGGCCTCCAAATCTTGGAGCCCAAGAGTTTTTCGAGTGCCTCAGCCACAAGAACCTGTTGAGCATGGCTGCAATGCATTTCCAACATGAGCCAAAAGGGTAAATCTGATGCTTGGAAGGCATGTGTTCGAATGACCCCATTGATCAAGTCGTAGAAACGGATCCCACTCTTCATTCGGACATCATGGAACACTCTGGGCTTACCATTGCCCCCATCCCAGACATCCACTGTTTCAAAGCGAAATCGATTATAGAGAAAACATTTACGCCAAAACTGCATTTTTATTTTATGCATTCAATTGCGTATAGCGTATATAGGAATGTAATTATGGAAATTAATTTTAATGATTAAAACTCACGAACGAGGAACTTTGAACCGCGCATGAGTTCGAAAACGTAGACTTCTTGGGTGTTTTGTCTTTCGTCCACCAGGTGGTAGATGGGCTGCCTAATTACAATAAAAAAGGAAATTGTTCAATTATTTGGACTTGATTCAAAATTAATGAAATAAAATTGTAACCTGTTCAAAGCTCCTTGGATATTGTAATGGAACATGGGCTGATCGTAGCCCATTTCTTCCTCTTCCTCCTCTTCTCTGCCTCCTGGAATTACTGAAAATTCGTCCGAGGAGAACCATAGTCGAAATCCTGTTAAAATTAGGAAGTTTGTGCATTAGTGTCGCGAAAATTCAAAGTTCTCAGAATTTTTTCAG